CTAAACCCTAAATCATAAACCCTACGCCCTAAAACACTCTAAACCGCCCTGTCAGGTGTCACGCCTCGCCACACACTCCGCACGTGTTGCCCTGGCAGGATGTTTGAACATGACAGCTATCCAGACCCCTCCAATAGTAGTAGAGGGCTTGGGGTTTAGGGTTTAGCGCTCTACAGAATGCCCAATACTAGTAAGATAGTAGTATAGGCTACCATATTGGGGCTTCTACTTTCTAGATCCTCCCAGGAGTCTGGGTACGGGAGCCCCTTTGAGGCTAGCAAGTGTCCAGAGGGTTGAACAGGGTTTAGGGTTTAGGGTTGGAAAAAATCATGTCTACCTAGACCCCTATACCCCAGCTTGGGTACTGCTCCCCACTTATGAACAGTTGGAGAATACTTATGATATAACTATATAGAGCTCGTAATACAAGCCCCTAAGATAAACTGTCAATGGGTGGGGCAGGACCCAAACCCTCCCCCTGTCTAGGATACCGAACTTGATGCCTGGTCCCTTCTAGATATACAAAAATTGGCATCCCAAAAAACCTGAACCCTAAACCCTGGACCCTAAACCCTAAACCCTGAACCCTAAACCCCAAACCCTAAACCCTGAACCCTAAACCCCAAACCCCAAACCCTAAACCCTGAAACTAAACCCTACACCTTAAACCCATTGCCTTAACTTCAACCTGCTCGACTATTCTGATCTCCCACAAAGAAACGCGAAACCTGCAGAGGCACCCAACAAACGTGGCTTGCGTAGGTTCTAGGGTTTAGGGTTTAGGGTTAAAGACTACCAGCGCAGCTGTCTAGGTCGGAACTGGAACACAACGGCCAACACAAACCAGCAGATGTTGAGATTATATAGGGGTATATAGGAAATGTATGAAGCGCATATAGGGGGATGTAAACGGGAATGGAAAAGAACGTGGAAACCAATGTTCAGGGTTCATTGGCTTCCTTAGGAGTCATTACCCCACTGTTAATTTACCTCCGTGCCTTATCAGGATTATTAATTCTGAGTTCATAGAAACCTGTACTCATATCGTTAACGCGCCGCGCGGCCAGGCTGAAATTAACAGACTGCAGAACCCAAAGGGTCCACGTAGGAATGTAATATATGCGTAGGACCCAAGGGGTTTCTCATATGCCTACTCTGGGGCCCAAGTGTATACTATATACCTCTAACCCTATACGCTAAACCCTAAACCCTATACTATATTTCTACATGGACCCCTCGGGAGACAAGGCTGCGAAGCACTGCCAGGGCTTTGTCTCCAAATTCGGGAGCTTAGACTTAGACCCTCAATTCGCCACTCTACATGTCAAACCTTCGCGACCCTAGATTTAGGGCTTAGGGCACACCCTCCCTAAACCCAAGCTCAAAACCCTCCTTTGTCTCTATGTTTTAACAGGCAAAGCAGAACCCGTTAAGCAATATTCAATGCAGATATTCAATGCAGCCTCAGGAATTGGGCCATCCTTCGCAGAGAGGTCGGCTGCCTCGCGCAGCAGTCCAGAGTTCAGGTCTAGTAAGGGGATTTTGGTAACCCCAACCACCCCAAGATATGATAAGCAAAAGGAAAATGCCATGAAAACTGGAGTTGTATTGGGCTGAATACCAGGTATTTGCCAAGCGGATGTTGGTATCCCCATCCCGCGTAACAAGGACCTTACGTTGGGGGTTGGTATAACCAAAGCCCTCTCAAAACCCTCTTGTTACAGTAGTTAGCCGTAAGGGTCCAAGGACCCAAATAATAGGGGTTTCAGGGCCCAGATTAATGGTATTTGGATCCTCCTAAAGTCCTACTACTTGGGTCCTTGGACCCTTAGGGTAGGTTACTGTGGACATTTACAAATTTTACACGACCCTACCCCAGCTGTGAGCCCTCGTAGTTTGGTTTAGGGTTTAGGGCTTAGGGTTTAGGGTTCAGGGTTTAGGGTTTAGAGTTTAGGGTTTAGGGTTTAGGGTTTAGAGTTTAGGGTGGTCACGCAATATGAAAACAACAGGATCGGATACCACAATACAAGAGGTTTGACATACTCATCTTCTACTTACCGTACACCTAGACCCCAAACCCTAAATCACCAGGGTAACTGTTCAAAGTAGGGATTGAGGTTGGATCTGGTGAGAGCTGCTGCAAATCATACCATCTGCTGTCTATTTTGGATAACGCCTTGGAAGCAATAAACCCTGAAGTCTAAACCCCAAACCCCGCTAAACCCTAAACCCCACAAGAGACCCCAAAACCCCAAACCCACTTAAACCCTAAACCCCACAAGACTCACCAATCACCCTGAATTTTGGCCGAAATATGCTGTATTCGAGACCCCTTGGCAGTTTAGGCTATTCATAATCCTGTTAGAACTGCATTTTCAACTCAATCACCATATTCGAAGACAGAGGGCGCTTAGAGATGGGTTGTAAGCCAGACCTTCACGTATAATTGGGCTATAATTGCCTGAACCCTAAACCCTAAACTAAGATATTCCAAGAGTACTTGGAGAGTCTAAGCAGGTAGTTGACGAGCAAAGGTGACATACTGCCATGAACACAACAGAGTAGTTTTTTTTGGTGGTTGAACCTAGTAAGATTTTATTGCTTATATCCAATACTATACCCCCAAAGGAGGATATAATCTTACTCTATATTGGGTACCATAATAACCCCAAATAAAATACTGCTCAACAAGAATCTTACCCCTAAGGCTCCAGGTAGGTACCATTTATAGGGTCTAGGGCCCAATGTATTTTTTTTATAGTTAGAGCCCCAGGGTACCAGCAAAACACAAACATTGGTGGCAAGAACTGCTTGGAGCATCTGGGAATGGAGCAAATTGGCTCACCATGGAAATAAGCAAAGTTATTGTATGAATGATTGGCTTCTGGAGCCCCCCTGAAATCCTAAACCCTAGACAAGGGTTTTGAATTCTGTCGCCTCCTTCTTTCGATTCTTCCCGCCAGCCTTAGAAGGCGCATTCTCTTGCATGCGAGGTTCAGTTCAGACTGTTGGTGCTGTTATTATAGGGTTTAGTTTTTAGGCTTCAGCGTTTGGGGTTGGGGGTTTAGGCTTTGGGGTTCAGGGTTTCGGGTTTAGGGCTTAGGGTCCTACATACCTCAACCTTGGGAAAAGGTATGATGGAGCATCGCAAATATGGTGTAGCGACATATAATCATATAGTATAACCTGGTACAGTAGAATCTCGTGCAGTAGTCATTAAGTTTCATGCAGGATTTTGTGCATCAACCGCAAGGCTGTGGGGAACTGAAACGCTCAAGACAAGAAGCCAAACGCGAGGGTGTGCCGGGTACGGTCGGGTCTCTATCATAATGTTGAATTGGGTAGCTGCCTCAGGCATCTTGGTGAGTGTATATAGGGGATGTCGTCCTGAGCGGGTCTCACATATGCTTTCTACTCTACGGTCACGGCTGGGAACCCCAAATTAAGCCTGACAAGGTCAGAGTAATCTAAACAACTTGAGATCGTTTTGAGCTCACTCTGAACCATATTTGATTATGATTCCCAGCCAGGCTTTTGACAATGCAAACCTATGGAAAGCATCAAGAATGAGCATGACAACGAAGACTGGTAGGCATCAGGGTGATTTGGGTTAGGAGCTACGATTGCTGCAAAACGCCGAGGATCCTCTGCAACTTCTCAGTAACCCAAGCACCAAGTGAGGCCCGTTTTTCGAGGGAAATGAGGTTTTCTACGGAACCCAGATACCCAAACAGGTGGGAGGGGGCTACTGCAGTTCCAAAACGACTGGGGCGTCCGGGCAATGATGGTCCAATGCTGTCCTTCAAGTAAAGTAGGAGCCAGAAAATTACCAGCATCTTTGTTCTACAATAAGATATTACCTGATATTCTAGTTTAATCAAAGACTTTCAGGCCACCACACTCCATTGCCGACTTTTTGTCCTTAAGACAACTGAAGACCGTCTTCCATCAAACGCTTTTGATGCGTCCAATGAGTGAAACGCTGTGAAACCTTGTCATAAATCCCAAAACACATAAGTCCTGAGTAACAATTTAACAAACCTCTGTTGACAACTCGGCAAATTTGGGAAATGCTTGAGACACTTGCTTCGCAGTGTCTCGTTGGTTTTCTTTAATTATACAAGCCTTGCGGACCACCCCGTTCACGCTGCTGTAAAAGGCCGTCGAGAATCAATGAATTGACTCGCGCGGTACCCAGAATAACTGCCCATTGTCCTCGATCCATCAAGGAATGGCAGTCGTCCTGGGTGCTCATACCTGGCATTTCTTCACAGAATTCTGGGCCCCCCTATATGTGTAAGCCCACGTAAAGACACCAACATCATGAGGACACTCCCATTTGCACCCCCCCGCCTGCCAAGGTCTGTCGAGCCAGTTGTAGCTGGCCTGGAGGACTTCGACTTGGGTCGGTAGTCAGTGTGCTCCCGGATACGAGGAGTGACAGGTTTCGGATCCTCTGAAGTCTTCGGCGCCCACCAGAGTTTCATAAAAGGCGTGTGCTTCTTTCTCTTGGGGTCGAACTTCGGATTCTGCTGAGGCAGCACGGTGAGATTGCCCTTCGAAAGGTAGGTTCGGAGAGTCTTGTTGGTGGTCTGCAGCACCTTGGACTTGCGAGTCGTACAGGACAATTCTTGGAAATTAGGTTTAGGATTTAGGGGAATAGGGTTTGGGGTTCAAGGCTTAGGGAGAAGCTCTATCCAACAAGACACTCCTGAATTGCAAGAGCCCGGATCCAAAGCCTAATCACCCCACAAGACAGGTACCGGTGAACAGTGGACATGGTCATGTATAAGTTTAAGCAGTATTGGGATAGGTCTGCGCCAACATTACGAAGTAAAGCGTAAACACTTAACCCTGAGCCCTACACTCTCAAAACCGTCAAGAAACCCTAAGCCCTTAATCCTGACAAGCCTCAAGCCTCAAACCCTAAAGCCTAAATAGCAGTTTCAATTTAATGTTCCATGATTTTGCGTTTGGTTCCCCGGTATTCATCCTATATACTCCATATATGGCTCCTATGATCCACTTTCATAGACCAACGCCCTAAACCCCAAATCCTTATTCTTAAACCCAAAACCGTAAATCATGAACCCTAAAACTGCATCCCAAACCGCAACAAGGAACCTATTATTGCATCCTATTGAAGAGACCTACAATACGCAAAGGGCCCAAGTCCATACACAAAATCTGTACTACACCTACTATGACCCCAAACTCATACTTTCACTCTGAAGCCTAAACCCTAAACC